CTATGGTCTCTTGGGTTGAGCTCAGGACTGCTATGGCCTCTTGGGTAGAGATCAGGGGTGCTGTGGCCTCTTGGGTTGAGCTCAGGAATGCTATGGCCTCTTGGGTAGCGGTCAGGAGTGCTGTGGCCTTTTGGGTAGAGTTCAGGACTGCTATGGCCTCTTGGGTAGAGCTCAGGAGTGCTGTCGTCACTTGGGTAAAGCTCAGGACTGCTGTGGCCTCTTTGATGGAGGTCAAGGAGTGCTGTGGTCTTTTGGGTAGAGGTCAGCAGCGCTGTGGCCTTTTGGGTGGACCTGAGGAGTGCTGTGGTCTTTTGGGTGGAGCTTGGGGCTGTTTTGCTTTCCTGGGTCTAATGCAGGACTTTTGTGCTGCCTTGCGATCTTTGGAGTACTGGGCAATGAATACTTTCTGCTCAAATGTATAAAACATGTTAGTCCATAAACTCATGTTAGTGATAAAATGCATAAAAAAAATTTTTAAATGCTGAAGCTTCTTACCTTTTTCTTGACATTGTTCCTTCCAGGTCTTCCATGTCATAGTGACAGTCAGGAGCGCCATGGCCTCTTTGGTGAAGCTTGGGGCTGTTTTGCTTTACTGGTTCTAATGCAGGACTTTTGTGCTGCCTGACGATTTTTACATAACATTAGTTCAGTTTGAAGGAAGAGGGGAAAGAATGTAACTTACGTGATGTGAAAATAATTCTGTCCTTATGGGGCTTCCATTCATCTCCAGGACATTCTTGCAATTTTACAGCTTTTGCTATATCAGTTTTATTTGGAGGCCACATGCACTCTCCATTTTTTATCCAGATGGAAGGCACAACTTTTACCTCATTGGTTTTGTCAAAAACAACTATGTGAAACATCTAAAAAGAAAAAATACTCAAAACCACAGAAACATACTCTTTAGCCAATTGAAATACTAAAGCAAAAGGGCTATTTGTCTCAATGCAATAGTGGAACAACAACACATCGGTTTTGGAATGGTAATCTCACATACTTCTGGGGTTTATTTATTCTAATCATGAAACATTTGATGTTAGTAGAGAGGTTGGAAACGACATAAATTCCCAGCTCTCTTGAGTCAATAGGATATGTAAAGAAGTGTTCCACCTGTTTATATTCATTGGCCACAATGTACACTACTCCTTTATCCTAAACAATGTTCTGGACTAACACCGACTTTTTATCAGTTTTGATGCAACAATCTCTCTCTTTGACCTTCACAACTACATCATCTGTAGCAAGCACTTTATATTGACAAACTTATCGTGAGAAGCATTCTGGCACTGGGCCATCCATATGCTTATTTTCCAGTTTTTGAGTTGCCTCTTTAACATCAGGACCGTAGCTGCCATTTTCCATCTCTGATAGTCTGCGTATCACCTGAGTCAAAGGATTAAGTGGCCCTCAAACCATTTTTTTTAGTTTTCCTAAGAAATTTTCAAAGAGAAATGCTGCTATAAAGTCTAAATTGCCATGTACTTTGACATCTTCACTGAGATGTACCAGACCATGAATATTGTATACCAAAAACTCTTCACCATAAAGCTGGATAAAGTGTTCAACGAATGACACCAACAGAGTTTTAGCAAAGTCATTTAACTCCATACAATATTTTGGACTTGCCAAAATGTACACACCTACTGACAACAGCATGAAGTTGTCATAGATCTGAGGCTGTAGAACACCCCTCAGCACAACTGGACCAGTGTACAACAAGAATTGGCTAAGTTCGGTGGCTTTCCACCTACATCGTTCAGCCAGAGCCCGTGGCCTTCGAGCAAACTCACTTGGAATGTAATTTCTCAGTGCAAGAAGTCTATCTGAAACCATGGAAGCTTGACTAGATGAAATGCGACAGTGCAAGGGACCAGTGGTGCTGATCCACAAGTCTAAGAGACGCCTCATTACACCCAGACAAACAAGGTGCATATAATCGTATGGAAAACAAGTGACCATGTCAATGCCAACCTCTGTAAGAGGTGAGTGTTGGAAGTGGTGTTCTTCATCTGTTGCTTGCCTAAAACTATCATCAGTTCTGCGCCTTGCATTGACCTCAGAAAATGACATTCTATTCGATTTGCGGATACCTCTTTGGTGACACTTGTCACATCCATGACTTCACACCTCTGACGAAGGCTCGGGCTGGGGTGTCACACACAACAGAAACAACATTCAAAAAGAAGGTTTTCTGCTTGAACAGAAACCCATTGTCCAACACTTTCAGCCCTTGAACCAGATCATGAAGATATTCAGTCAATGAATTTGGCTTAGAAGTACCACAAAACAGTCCTATCAAAATTGGTTTCTTGGTGTATCCTTGCAATAAACCAAGAATTGGCCAAAACTGTGTAGTAGTACTTTTGAAGAGGGATAGACCGTCAAAATTAAACCGTAGTTTAAAAACATGTCTGTCTGGCACATTATACCAAATTACATCTAGAATTTTCCGATTTAGAATTCAGAATCCCACAATAATGGAACACACCACCAGCTACACTGCTTATTTTGTAGCTTGTTTTTGTTTTCAGCAACGTTCTTCCATCCTTTGGCAGAGAGGGATGATAGATTTTGAGGATGCTGAGAAGCGCTGACAGAAAGACAAGTATTCCCTGTGGTTCATGTTTGTGGCATGCGCCAGAAAGATCCTCAAGGAGACCGAGAAGCGCTAAAGCAGCGCAGTCTGTTGTTCTCTTTATTTTTCAAAGACATGACATTTTGTAGTTATTTTGAACGTAACGTTACACAATGAAAAATATACATTTTACCATACGACTATAAATGACAGAGTATTAAGTTATTTCCCCTCGATGGGGAAAAAAATCCAAGTGAACATCAATCAGTGCTCAATATTAATTTAAACTGCTTTAAATATGACTGCTGCTTATTTCCTGTGCACTTCAATACTGATCTGCGCTTGACTGTAGTCGCGTCTGTCTACTTATTGAGTTTATTTAACCCATCGCAATTTGGTTTGGTGAGAAACAAACCGAAATGGCAAGTTATTATATTTTATGAAACTCTTGCATTATAGTGTGAGTGCGCAGCAGCTCACGCTGCACACAAGTGCATATCCTTTTGAGATATAAATTTTAATACATTTTAATAAAACCCAAGACAACATTATATAACTAACAGTAGGCTAATATCTGTTGTTCTCCTGTTGTCAGTTCTTGCGTGAACATTATAGGCCTATATATACCCAAGCCAATTTATTATCCCTTCCTTTTTGTCTTAGTGTTTAAAATATTTATTTTGAAACAAATTAATTAATTTCTTAATTAAACAAAAACACAGACTTACTGGGTGAGCAAGGTAGGCTACGACAGCTGTCATATCATACCCTGCCATCCCCAGCTGATGCAAAGAATAGAATTTATATCTACACAGAAGAAAGCCCTGTCTAGACTCTGCCCCAGTATGAGTTGTGTCCAGCTATTCATTAGCCTGTTTGTTTGAAGCCGTTTTCAAATTTTTCTACTTTCGATATTAAATCAAAAAACGAATGATCGTATGATACACGGATTTACAAGGTCCATGTACATTTTGATCGTTTGTTTTTTCAATTTGAAATGAATTAAGCAGAAACAAGAAAATGGCGCCTTTTAATATTTTTTTAATTTGTTCCAAAAACATAAATCTATAATATTGACTTTATTTTCCTTTTTTGGTTCACTGGTAGAACACGTGAACCAAAAAAAATCAAGCTAAAATCTTTTTTTTTTTTTTTTTTTTTAACAAAAAAAAAAAAAAAAAAAGGTTTTGTTTTTTTTTTTTTTTTTTTTTTTTTTTAAAATTAAAAACCAAAATTAAAAAAA